ATTCTCCTTAAAGGTGGGCTCGACTTCCTCGAGCTATTATCATTAGTGCTCTATAGTTTTTATTACCTCCTGCCAAAAGACTATTACAACTCCACTAGGAGGGTATGCAAACATCAATGACAATTCAACTCACCAGCAGTTCACCATTCACCACTAAAAGATGGTTCTTCTGCGATGCTATCTGGGGATCAACGTCCTCTTCCTCCACTATGTCAACATGGTCACCTCGATGCAGCCAAGTGCATGACACATGTGCGGGGGCGTCCCATGGATGGGGCAGCTCCCATGGGATGTCCTCAGCCTCGGTAGCACCCACCGTGGGTTCTGTAGTTCGCCTCGCAGCCCTCTCATGGTGGTGACGTGTTGCGCCTAGAGCCATCTCCACCAGGAACTTTAGAGCATGTGGTTCCTGCTAGGCTCTAGGGACCGCACCCATCGCCGATGGCGGGAATGCTCGAGGGCTTAGCACCTGCCCCATGTCCACCCTGGCTCCACTGACCTCTACCATGGGCTTTGCTACTTGCTGACTCTCAGCATTGTCACTTGCATGAGCCCCGTTTTCCGTAGACACCATGGTCACCCCTCCTCTAGTTGTACCTTTGACATTTATGGGGGCGGCAGGTAGCATCGCGCCATGAGATCCTTCTCCAGCTTTAACCGGACGTAGAGGGTCTATCGATGGCTTGCTGCTCCACAAATACCAACTTGTCAAGCCTCCAAGGCTAAAGTCATGCGTCAAAAGGATTACAACATCCAATTGCTTACTTGTTTGATTGCCTTATAGTGCGCTAGATTTTGCACACTCCGCTAGGTCTGCTCGCCTTGGTGGTCGGCATTGCTTCCTTCCCATGACCAGGGAGCATAGGGCCTACCATCACGGTTGTTGCGTCTGCGGACGTGTCTTCTCCAACCTTGGCCTCGCGTTTGGGCTCAGGGATTTCAACGCTGACCTGTTCGATAGGCCTTTGCCTCACCGATTCAGGCTTCCTATTTGTTCGGCATTATTTGTCGAGCTAGTACCTTTAGTGGTTGCATGAGGGGGGCTGGCAGCTCCTTGCTGCACCGCCCTCAATAATAGTGGCACCCTATCCTCTGGGTCGTCGTCCTCACTCTCTACCCCACCGATGTACTTTCGATGCTAGAGGGGTGGAGAGTCCCTGATGCTTATCCCACCATCACAGCGGGGTGATGTAGTCGCCTTCCTCTTCTTCGCTATCGGCACCTCATGGAGTGGCTGTTTGCCACTCCGCAAGTTCTGATGCCCAGGACTCGGGGTGGACTCCCGTTCATCCAACGAGTTGGTCAGCGTCGTTCGGGTCATCATGGCCGCGATATCTATGAACTTCATTGCCCCTTGAACCTATTCTCTGTCGTTGGCCAAGAACCAACTGGCACTTCAGAGATATACACCCTTTGGTCCTGTGTGGCAACTCAATAAACAACTAGTATGCATAAAGGAATCAATGGCGCATTTTATAACATCAGTCAAAACCAATTACCTCTAGTGGTGGAAACATCAGGCCAAACGCCCGCTGGGGATGCCTACTCTCCTTCATCTTCTTTAAAGTGAAGAACTTCGACACTCGACGGTCGATTTCTTCGTTGTTCAGTGGCTCCAGCGCTTCTCGCACAAAGTCCGCATCCCGGTACTGATATGCGGGATGGGACCTTTCCTTGCACGATAGGATTCTTCGGCCAATGAAGTTTTGAGTGCACTCAACTCCAATAATATTGACATGAGACAAGAGGTCAAGCAGTTCCTAAACATGATGCATCTCCTCACTACTCGGTCTGGCCGACCAGTTGGGATTGAGGATTGCTGGGCTGTCGATGTCCGTAGACAGGCCATCTTCTACATTTTTTATGTAAAACCACCAAGCCTTCCACCCTTTGTTGGAGGTACTAAGAGGCATGGGTTTCCACTCGGATGCTTTCCCATCCCATAGTACCAGATAGGTCGCACTGACCACATCGACGCCGACAAATGACTTGAGGTGGAAGAAGTAACGAAAGAGATTGAAATGCAGCTCTATTCCAAGATAAGCTTCGCAAAGATTGATAAAAATGGCAAGATGTAGAATGTTATTCAGGTTAAGATGGACAAGTCAAATCCCATAGTATGGGAGCAGCTTGTGTAGGAAGGGATGCGCTAGAAGCCCAAATTCCCAGCGATAGAAATCCTCGAATACTACTAGCGCTCTGTTGCGAGGATTCGGTAAGCGCTCACCTTGAGCAGGATGCCACCTAGTCACTGCCTCATCTAGCAGGATCCCATCCATCACCATCTCCTCTAGGTTCTCCCGGCTACTGCTTGATGCCACCCACTCCTTGCTACGGGCATCAGCCTTGCGCGAGTTCTTCCATGGCGCCATGGATCTGGATCTAGGGACTCACCACGCTTGCTCCACTCTTCTAGTGGGAATGGACTCTCTGGCTAGGGCTCTAGTGACAGAGTAAGGAGAAGAAAGGGCGGTGGATTCATAGCAGGTGCACGACGGGGAAGATGAGAGGCGAGTGTGCAATCGCTTATGCAAAATGGGGCGCACCGCGTGCGGAGTGAGCTATATTTCATTCGCCCTCGCCCCTTTGTCTCAAGGGTTTCTGGGAGACCGTGCTATGCCATACGCGCCTATTACAGCATTCGTTGCTCCACGCGCACGTGTTCGACCATAATCAATGTGCATCACTCTAGCTTCTCTACGCTCTCCGCTTGATGGGCAGTGTAACGTCCCGCCTCTCCGAGGCCGGGCCCGCTTACATCTGACAGCTTCTCTAGGATATAGACTGTCCTCACAGACCAACACAGGTCTTTTCTACGCACTTTGTCCTCACTCATGCGCACCCGGGAAGAACTTCCCGGTCGGTCACCCATCGCTCCAGGCCAAGCACGCTTAACCTTGGAGTTATTTGTAGATGGGCTTCCGGAAAAGAAGTTGCAACTTATTGGTATGAGTATCCTATTAATCCTGTTAAGCCCTGAGCCGGGGTGTTACAGGCAGCTCCACAGGCCATAGTTTTCTCTCAACAAGAAGCCTTCCACAACTGGCCTGCTTTCTCACATTACGGTGTTAGTTCCTCGATAATTATGTGATGGCTCGCAAAGCCAACATGCTTCGATTATATTTTTCTCCTCTTTAGTGACATTATGTTTACGCTTTTCTTTGACCCTGCTACAAGATTTATACTTCATCTTCTAGTAGGCTCAGGGACTAAGTGTGTACATTTCACCTGGCAGTGATTGTACTAATTGTGTGCTTTCGATTGTACTCATTTCTATCTTCTAGACCCTGACACTAGGTGTACCTACACCTAATCTCAGGCCTAAGGACTACATTGTGTACAATGCACCTTGCGGTGCATGAGCTTTTTATTTATGATGCTTTAGCTTTGTCGAGTTTGTCCCTTACTGCCTCTGCTTTGCTTCGGTGATCACTTCACTGGCGCAAGGCAGCTGGCACTTAAGTGTGTACACTTCACCAACCAAGAATTTTCAATTTTTTCGGATGAGCTCCTTACATCCTATTGGTGGGCCTCACTTGGCTAAGTCCGAGACTTACTGGCCACTTCAACTGGTCGGCAGTTGTCCTCATAGGTCAGCACACCAGTTGCTGGTCGGCTAGCTTTTTTACCGCCCAGGCCACTAGTCAAACTGGTTGATTGTTGTTTTCACCGCTTGGATCGTCAGTCAGGCTACTCGGCTCCATGACAAACTGCTCGAACTTGATCAAGATGGTGTCACCATGCAGATACAAGGCGCTCGGGGTCTAGTTGTGGGGGGTCTGACCGCATGTACCAATGCCAATGCACATGGGCCACACCAATAGGGGCGGTCCAGCCCACAAGATGAAGGCTTGCAATGCACGGCACAGCTCGGCGCACGCCGCAAGGCATCTCGGCGGCGTTCTGAAGATCGCATAGAATATGTTGGGATATGTTGAATGTATATTTCCATGTAAAGATTATCTCTTACCTGATCGAACTCTGACCTGATCGGCATGTAACCCTACCCCCTATGCTATATAAGGCGGGTAGGGGACCCCCTCAAAACACACGCGATCATATATGATAGCTAATACAAACCAAAGGAACATAGGATTAGGGTATTACGGTAAGCTAATCGCCTGAACCTGTATAAACCTTGTGTCTTGTCACCATCTCGGTCCTGATCTCGCTCACTTCTCCGATCAATCTACCATCACAGGTAGCCCCAGCGGTGGACTACCGGTACCATCGGCTCTGCTAGGTCCTTGGGTTCTTCCTTCAGATGGACTAGGGGCTGGGGCTCCGACGTAGTACCCTCATCGCAGTGAGAGATGGCATTGTGCTCAGAGCTTGGGGCCATGGCAGTGGCAAAAGGGAGGGGTAGAAGGCAAGCAAAAAGGTGAAAAGGCAAAGGGTAGAGATTGGAAATGCTAAGTGGGAGAATAGGCACAGTGGTTGCCACCAAAGCGAGACGAGGGATGAAATGGCTACCTGCCATGCACAATCCCCGAAAAATCACTCGGCAACCGTAATGTGCGCCAAAACTGCCGCGCCAATAGTTATTCACAAGGAAAACTATCACTTTTTGATTCCTAGAATAAAATTGACAATTTAGTGCCCTGTGAATAATCCATAATTAAGATATTTATCACCCACGTTGTGAGCAAAGCTCCACCCTGACTATAAGCCTCGGTTCCTGATTAACCTATAGTTCAGGGCTATGAGTATGCTCAGTAACTAGGACGACACTACCAAAGCTATCCTAACTTTGGACTATGTCCACGTGTAAAGTGTGTCGCAGCTCTACTCATGGCGACTCGAACATAGAATAGTTTGCAAAATGCGAATAAAAGCAAAATAACCATCCATATCAGGAACTAGTCATTTCATTGATATAATTCATTAACATGGATTTTCAAATGATTAAACTAGAACCCTAATCTAAGATAACAGGAGCAGGCACTTCCTCCGATTGTCACCAAGCTCCTTATGGGGCCCGCTGATGAGATGGGAGCAGCCTAGCTCCTCGATGATGATTCGCTACCCTCGGGTCCATCCTTCACCTTCTCCTTCTTCTCCTCGTCAACCTCCTCTTCCTCGACGTCCTCTTCCTCACTGTCGCTGCTGAGGATCACCAGGCCACCATCTCCCAGAATGTCGATGGCCTCATGATTCATCTCGACAAAAAGCTTCCTTGCAATCTCCTTGTCGTGACTCATGTCTGGCTGGCCGATGGCGCAAGGAGCGGAGGGGCCGGGGGTGTCAAAGATGGCGGAGGTGATGGAGGCAGCAGGGGTAGTAAAGATGACCGAGGGTAGCGGGAGCAGTTCCTGCCGGTAGGGTTGAGTCTTTCAGTTTGTCCTCGTCAGAGAGCTCAATCACTACCTCCGGTGCCGATGGCACTGGCTAGGTCGACGGCCCAGCTAGGGATCCTGGTGGAGCGCTTTCATCAACCCTAGCATCCCCTCTCGAGATTGTTGGGGCCAGAGGCATGGGAAGCATGGCCAGCAGCGATGTCGCTGCCGGTGCTTGGCCTCTAGAGGATGTCGGAGATGGAGACACATGTGCAGATGGCAGGGGCGATGGCATACTACCCAATGACGCTGCCTCGGCCAATTGGCCGGGTGAGCTGGCGAGCAGCAGACATGGCACCTTGCAGGGATGCTTGCGCTTGGTGATTTTCTTCCTCATTTTTACAAACAAGATTGGAGATTGTAGGTTGCAGATTCATCACAAGCAGGCCTAATTAAATAGGACCAAGCTGCTTTCCTAGGAATCTCAACTGCCGTCCCAATTAAAAAGGAATTAAATCTCCATCACGCGCACTCATGGGAAGCCAAGCCGATGCAGTGCTTTGACTGACAGACGACTGCGCGCCACCTGGCTTGCGTGTGAAACGGGATTGACAAGACAAGATAACCCGGGGATGGCACTAGAACAAGCTCATCTCCCAAACAATGCGCTTTTATCGGCTTGTACGGGATCAGGAGTTAAGTCGCTATTGGTAACCCAGGTTACCTCTTGGTACCCGAACTACAAACCATCCGACTAAGACTATCCTAACTACTCACAGACGACCAAGTTGCGTTTGGTAGACAAGCTTGGCGGCTTATGTCGATGCCATACCCTTGAGTACCCCGACTTCCATATTGTCGATTACTGACTCTAGATCAGAGAAGACCCAAAGGCCCACAACAACCCTATTCAAGGAAGGATATCTCTAGATTGTGCTAGGACTCCAGCTAGGGCATGACTCCTTAGCTTGTAGGGCAAGTTGAACCCGGATATAAATAGCTAGCAATAGCCCCTGTTGTAATTGTTGACTCTTTCATAGGCATAGCTACATTGTAATAGCAATCTCATCGAATACAAGCAATACAAGAGTAGCAACTAGATGTATGGCTTTTACTCGCTTCCTGGGGGGCGAACCAGTGTAAATCTCATCTCCATCTATGATTGTTCTTCGCACCAAGCGGGGTTCCCCAAGAACCAAATATATGCCAGTAAAAAACACAGACAGCATGAGTACTACATAATCGTTGAACTATTACTTTGTTTGAAATATTAATTGAATCAGTTGGTCTTGATTGTGATCCATGTGTACACCTCTATGTAAGCATAGAGGATCCAAAACAGGCTTTATTCTACAGGCGGATAGTACCCTGAACAACCGGTGACACAACATTTCATCTTGGCGGGAGTGCAAGGGTTTTCAAGGATGTTTTGGTGCCTTGGAGAGACGCAAAAGCGTAGACAAAAGACCTAGGCCGACCTCTTCACTCAGAGTGTGCAACACTTTGAACCCTGACTGCTCTATGGTTGCATCTAGCTCCAACTCCTCCTAGTGATTGGCACCATCCCAGGGCGCCATTGTGAGAAGAACACCGGCTTCTAATGGAGGAGGCTACAACGGGAGGGGGCCGCCCATCCCGTGCTGTGTTGAGAACTACCCCTACGCATATCAGCCACCACTTTTGTGTCGTTGCGGCTTGAAGATGCCTTGATGGATTTCATGGAGGGATGGAAACCAAGGACATCAGTACCATAGATCACTACCGAAAACCGGCACTTTGCCGAGTGCCGTAGGATTTGCCGAGTGTATTTTATCGGGCACTCGGCAAAGACGGTCTTTGCCGAGTGCCAAATAAAATACACTCGGCAAAAAAACACTCGACAAAGATGGCTTTGCCAAGTGCCTTTTTTCTGGCACTCGGCAAAGATGTATTTTGCCGAGTGCTATTTTTCGGCACTCTGCAAAATGCGTCTTTGCCGAGTGCCTTTTTCTGGCACTCAGCAAAGATGTATTTTGCCGAGTGCTATTTTTTGGCACACGGCAAAATACGTCTTTGCCGAGTGCCTTTGTTTTGGCACTCGGCAAAGAGGCATTTTGCCGTATGCATTTTTTTGGCCCTTGGCAAATCATTTTTTCAAAGCAATTTTTGAGGCCCTAAATGAATTCAAATGAAAAACTTTTCAACTACAAAGTTGTATAACTTCTCAAGATCTACAAAGTTTATTTTGGTCATTTCTTCATTTGACAAAGCGACAATAACGTTGTTCATAAAATCTACATCTCTCTCATATCTCTCATATTAGTTTCATGAAAGTAGAAGAGAGATATATAAGATTTGTGAACAATGTTACTACCACTAAGTCAGATGAACAAATGACCAAAATAAACTTTGTAGATCTTGAGAAGTTATGAAATTTTGTAGTTGGCAACATTTTGATTTGAAATCATCTTGTCAGGCAAAAACGACGTTTGAATTTGAAAATTTTAAAATTTGAATTTTTCAAAAGACCTCGGATGGAAAAACTTCCTAAATGAAAATTGTAGATCTCCAAAAGTTATGAAACTATGTAGTTGACAACTTTTTGATTTGAAATCATCTTTCATGCAAAACTACGTTTGAATCTCTCAAATTTGAAATTCGAATTTTTCAAACAACCTCGGATGGAAAAACTTCCTAAATGAAAATTGTAGATCTCAAAAAGTTATAAAACTTTGTAGTTGACCACTTTTTTATTTGAATTTGTTTAGTGCCTCAAACAAGCAATTTACTCTCGGTTTGGTATAATATATAAGGATAGATAACTGAATCTAGACACAAGTGACAGTATAGTGCAGTGGTAGAGCAGCAGACACGCACGGGAGAGGTCGTGAGTTCGAATCCCGCCAGCCGCGTTAGCTGCAAATTTTGCGCAAAAAATGCAGCGACTCCGATGGAGACCGACGGGCGCTGGCCGGTGGCGGCCTCCCCCGAAAAAAATATTTTGCTATTATTTTTGGGTTTTTCGCATTTTCATTTTGCCGAGTGTAAATCTTTGCCGAGTGCTTTTCCGGCACTCGGCAAAGGCTTTGCCGAGTGCCCGACAAAAAACACTCGGCAAAGTCTGTTTGCCAACTAAAATTCACCGAGTGTCGTTTGCCGAGTGTCGACACTCGGCAAACCCTTTGCCGAGTATTTTTTAGGCTTTGCCGAGTGCCCCTGGCACTTGGCAAATCTCCTGATTCCCGTAGTGGATGCTGCAGGGCAAATAATGTAACTCAATTTATTTCTTGTTCAATCTGTTTTCGCAATGCAAATGCTGAAATCTCATTGTACTTACGGTAATTTGGTTTTTTCGTAGTCTAACTTAGAATGTGGGTTTTATGAGTGGTGTGATCCCCCATATGGAAAATATCTGAAGACTTTGATTTTAGATATACGTAACAAGTCTTGGGAGCTAAAGACAGGGGCCAATGTTTGAACAAATGAAGAACAACTGTCGGAGGTGAAAGAGATTATGCCACAGATTGAAGAAATGGCCAGGGTACCAACGAAGATGATGGAAGATTTCATACCTTTGAGAAAGAAATGTGTTTCATGTTCTTCTTTCACCTATTTTGTACTTACCTTAGTTCTTGGCATGTTTATTGGCAAGTTGCTTAGTTCATCACTGTAGTAGATTCAAGTATTAATTTACGTATCGAACTAAAATCTATCACTTTTGTACAATTATTGTTGAACTAAATGCAAGGTGATTAATGAGGTGCTCAATTTATTGAACTATAAATGCTAGTACATTCAAGTATCAATTGATGTATTGGAGGCATCCTACTTCCCTAGACACTAGGCCCTAATATAGGGGCAACCAATTTATTGAACTATATATACACTCTCCTACGGTCCTACCACACCTTGCTCCCATCCATTCCCCACTCTACTCCCTTGCTCTGCTTCACCCTGCTAGCGTCGGACGAAAGACAGTCTCTCTTGTGCTCACTGCTCCTTCACCTCCAACCCCACCGGCATAAATCTTCAGTGCGCCGCCCCTGCTTCTCTGCTCCATCCGGATCTAAGGTAACTGCACTAGATCTGCCCCTTCACCGGATTCTATATTCCTTTGTATTGCTCTCTTGTGCTCCCTGCTCCACCTCCAACCTAGATACAGTAATTTCCTTGGATCTAAAGATGAAAATGAATCTTCTCGTTCTAGAGTTTGTGGCCTTTTATCTCCGTGGAGTGTAGCTTGTGAGCCTTATTGTCCTCAGTATTAGTTCACCAAAACAGTGCTTTGTGAACAAAGTCGATGAGCTAAATGAAAGTATACCAATGGATGTAGATAGGGTTGTAGTGGTCAAGGCCTGGGATGACATGGAGATTGACAACGGTACCGTGGGGGTCGACAACGATCTGCAGGATCTTATGGAAATTCACAACTATCTCATGGAGGTCGACTAGGATCTACATGGAGAATGATTAATTATGTAACCAATGATGTACATATGAAGGCCTTTTAACTTTTGCATAGTGTTGGCCTAATTAGTATCTTCATTTTAGCTTTCAGCATGCTTGTTAGCTTGGTAGTGTCGACTTACTTATTTGATATGAATGTATGGAACTCAAGTTGGATTTCTTTCAATCTGAGAGTACTGGCATTGTGCTTTCCTTATGTTTTCTAAGAGCAACTCCAACAAACTTGGTAAATGTATTCGTGAAGCCATTTATAGCTACTGTGCTCCAAAGAAGCATTCTAACAACTTGTCTATATTTTTTTCCATTTTTCCCAGCTGAGTATCCCACCATTCTTGCTGGCCATATTTTCCTAGTGACTCCTGCTTGCTATATGTGTTTTCCAATTTAGCTAGGCTATTGTAAAACTTTACATCTTAGATGGGCTTTCTATTTTACATAATGGCTAAATCTCACAATTTAGCATCTAATTTTACCAAGTC